TTCTCACCTTATATTACCATAAGTGTTTGTATACATAGAAACAAGTCAATAGACATCATTGTTTGAAAATGTATGATGAATTTCTGTATTAGTAGGTTAATTTTTTAGTCAATTGAGAGTCTAATATCGTGTGAAGGCGATGAAAGCATAGATAAAATGTTACTATTGATGTTCTTCGACTATTCTTGAGGTGTGGGTGTAAGTGAAGAGAAGATAAACACCCATACCCACACCCTTATTTAATAGGACTTGAGGAACTATTGATACCCCCTATATAATAGAACTTTCGGACCTATGAGTATCCCCATAGAACACTTAAGGAGTCATAGATATCCAGCCTGTGATGCCCCTAAGGAATCCTGAAGATGGTATGTGTAACTTTTCATGATGATCAACTCATAGGGCTAAAATATTTGGAAAGGTTCAGTTCGTTGAAAAGAACTGTTCAAATAGTTCAGTTTGTGGTAGTAAGCGTTTAGAACAGTTCATCAGTTCTGAACTAGAGCTGAACTTGTTTTAGGTAATAAAGATCGAACACGAGTATTTTTCTAACGTTATATTGATTTTATTTAAAATTTCATTTAATATTAATATTTAAATAAATAAAATCTAATTGATCTATTCTATCTCTAGTCGTTTTTTTTTCTTCTCTCTTCTAAAATTAAGTTTAACACATAAGATATACTTTATGGAAGAGAGAAAAAAACATAAGATTATTTTCTTTCCTGCAAAGAATTGATTATTGAAGGGTTCTCTATTCTTTTTCGTCGTTTCGTTATATAATTATTATATTGAAAAAAAAAAGAGTGCGTATGACATCATTTAATATGAAGAATTCTCTTATTGAAAGATTAGCAAATCAAATTTATTTATCTGATGATAATCGATCAAATTCCGAACAACGATCAAGTCTTGCAGCGTATTCTTGGATGAGATTTTCATTTTTTAATTTAAATAAAAAAACAACAACTTATTCTATATAATTTTTTTTTCAATATATATATATTTATTTTAATTAACATTTTAAATAATCGATTTATATAATAAGATGTTTCTCTTGTTTTTGTTATTATAATTGTAATTCTATTGAATATGGTTATATTATAATATTAATAGATTTATTTATATTAGAGATTCAAAAATAAAATAATATATAGAATTGATACATTCTGTTTAAAAATAAAAATAAATCTCATTTATTATCTTTATTTATGTTTGGTTTATTTCGATTTAATAAAATAGTTTTTTAATATTGAAACGAGGGAAAAAAACTGATAAATTGTATTTGAAAGATATAATATATTCAAAGAATTATTATCAATAACGGGTGATGCAAAAGTTTTTGCAAAAAAGGTCGCTCCATTGTTCCTTGGCTAAACATGTTTGGAAGAAATCGGAAATACCTATTTAAGAATCTACGTCGAAAGTGGTTGCTAACTGTAAAATCAAAAAAGTTGTACCATGTATTGACTTGGAGTAACAAACACATCTTTAAACACTACTAAAATGTACACTGTAAAAGAAAAACAGTTCAAAACGACTGTAGCAAAATGATCAATCCCTCTGTATTTTGTGATATCCTTCGGCTCATTTTATCACAATGTTGTGCTCTTCTATCTATTAGAATATATGTTCTATTTTCAGGAATCAATATAACGAATACTATTGAAATTTTTGAAACAACATTGCCAAACAAAAACAACTTCGAAGTTCTCATCATTTTCACGTTGATGTCCATTTTGTATTGACCAGTGCTCGCTTTTGCCATTTCTGTGAATTGGCAACATAAGAGCTGGGGTATACTTGTAGCTCGAGTATCCTAAATCAACATTGTATCTGTTTTGAATAGCAATGGTGACACTTGGATCTCGAAAAAATCTTATCAGACCCTCATCAGTTCCACATTCGGTTTTAGTGCGTTGTTTTCAGTTTCCTTTTTTTCGTGTTATCCAAAGCGATTTCGTACGGTTTTCTATCAAGTTCGTAGAGAATTAAACAGCAAATTTAACGAAATAAAGAGCAGAAAAATACAATGGACTACATGCGAGAAAATCAAAAAATAATGAGAGAACAGTTTCTTTCTCTCACAACTACATTGAGATGTTTTCCCAGCGTACATTTTAGTAGTGTTTAAAGATGTATTTTTTACTCGAAGCCAATACATGTTAAAACTTTTTTGATCATACAGTTAGAAAATGCTTTCGATGCAGATTCCTAATAGGTATTTTCGATTTCTCTTCAACTTGTTTTAGCCAAGGAAAAATAAAGCGACATTTTTGCACAAACTTCTGCATCACCCGTTAGATATCGAAATATAACTGATACTTTTTTAAGTACATTGAAATATAAATTCGTAACAAGAAAGTCTTGTATCGATACTTTTATAGTTTACTATGCCTGTCAACTAGTGACATCTATAAATCCAAGTGTTTCGTATTCATTAAAAATAAATGATATTCTTTAAAAAGAGAAATTTATCTTTTTATTAGAAATATTGATAGTAGTATTTACTCTAAATTCAATTTCCTAACTGGTTTATCTATATTAACCTATCCATTTAGATAAATGAGTCATAATAATAAAGCAAAAAGACTATAATTATGAAATAATGCACTGAATTTTCTATACATCCAATCTATTTTTTTTCATTTCGAATTTTTATTTTTTTTTCTATGCCTCGTACATCTAAAAGACGAAAACCTAATAACGAAACCTGAACGTTCAAATTCATCTTCGTCATCAGAAAATGATAATGACAAAGAAGATTTCAATCAACCTGAAATATTCAAATAGATTTAGAAGCTCGTTCATTTATTGATCCTAATCATTTAGAAATTCTCTATTTTCTTGAACAATCATTTGGTAATTCAATAAAAACAAATCTCTTCTTGATTTAAATCAATAAGCAATACAACTATCCCTTGGTAGTTTCTTTTTTTTTAATCAACCATTAGATTCTACTCTAGATAAAAGTTCCGTATTAGGTATATGTTCATTTTCTTCGATTTGATCAAACACAAAATAAACAATTACATTCATGATTATTAGAATAATGCAAAAATATTCTTCAATGTAAGTTTCTTTTTTAAAGAAAAAGAACAAAAATAATCTGGACGAGTTGGGGTTTGAACCCAAGACTTTTCGCATGCAAAGCGAACACTCTACCGCTGAGTTACACGCCCTTGTTTCTCTTATTCGAAATATTTCGTTTTCATGTATTGTGTTTTTTTTTCTTTCGTTCTTAGCTTCGAAATAATGAATTGTTTATTAATGAATACTTGAACAAACAATAATTTATGCTTAGAAATAAAATTTTTTTTTTTTCAGATAAATAATGGATAATGAAAATCATTTAGTAGAAGAAAATCCATTACAAGAAATTATCACTTTTAAATCACTTGTAAGTATTACACAAAAAAATTGTCTATAAACTTACAGAAGTTTTTCATTGTAAAATAAATGTTCGATCTTATCAAAGATGGAACCGATCTGAATTTTTCATGACCATATAAAATCGAAGTTCGAAATCTGTTAAGGATACCTCCCCCCCTCTTTGGTGACCAAAAACTCGATTTCGAGCTGAGCCTAAGATACGATAGCCTGAAGTGCCACATGCAACTAGAAACATTATTCGACCCTAAATATTTTACTTTTACGTAGTTATTAGATCGAGAAAATTTTTTTCTTTTACTTAGCGTTTTGTAAAACAACGATTTTCTAAATTTTGGTTGCTTATGACTCCTTCTTAGTTTGTCCGATCGAACTGAAAATTTTACCACTAATACTTCAAAGTATTCTCCAGAGGTAAAATCAAGCGTTTTTAACGTTCCTACTCGGAGTTACAGGATCGTGAAAGCCAAGACCTGGAGCACAAACTCAAATCTTGGCGTATTTATAAAAAAAAAGAAAGCGAGATTCTTGGAAATCCTTAAATTTACCTCTGAGGAATAGTGTTAGGTGTCTATAAACAAATTTTCAGTCCAATCGGACAAATTTTAAGGGGTCGTAATGTGTCAAGATGCGAACTTCTGGAAAACCAGAGTTTTTCTTAAAACTCTATAAAAACTTATTTTAAATTTTTTTCCTCGAACACATATCTCTTTATTTTTAGTGCTCTATCTGTACTAAAAATTCCAGCTTGATCGGTTGTACCATCTTCGAGAACCAGCAAGTGTCAAAAAAGAGGGAGGGGTATCCTTAAATTCAATTTCAGTTCTTTCTTAAATTTAATTTATTCAAATTGAAAATAATCTTAGGTTTCAATTTTTCGTTTTTCAAATTTGTTAAGAAAACTACCTTTCAGTTATATTATTTAACTTACTGAAATTCATAGAATTCACTAAAGATTATGTTTCATTATTTCAATTTAATGAGATGTTTTTGATTTGAACACATCATCTAATTGTGATTATAAAATGGAATCAAATATCGAATGGAGTGCAAAAACATTAAAAATACAACAAAAATGATATTTTAAAAAAAACGATTTAGAAATATGGATGTTGATGAACACAGTCCGATTTACCCACGCTACGTGCAGAATGAATATCGAATTATCACAACAAATTATGATATAATTTCCTGAAAAACTCACGTTGTCTTTAGTTCAAATTGTTGTTAGTTCAGTTCAAACCGACGATCCACCATAGCAGCTCGAAAGCAATTTATTGCTTGGAGACTTTTCCTCATAAGGACAAAAAAAATTAATAAGACACACTGGTACCGGTTCCACCTTTGATTCTAACCTTAAATATTGACTGTATTCCTGTATATAATAAGAATTATTCTGATAGTAACTATGTGCTTTAAGCAAGATAGATTATTTTTTTTGTATTATGAGAAGGATGTGGTTTTCGGTTCTCACTACATCTACGAAAAATATTGTATGGGCGTAAGACGCCACTATAGTTAAAGTTGCATTTTTGAGAAATTCATGATTTCAGAATTTAGACATGTTTCTTTTATTGTTAAGGTTTAATTCTGATTGAAATCATTCTTTTTGTTTTATTTAAGGGTCTTAATGATGTATTATGTGAAGCATGTGAAAAACTTGGTTGGAAAACACCAACAAAAATTCAATGTGAAGCATTACCAATTGCATTTCAAAGTATATTTCTTATTTAATTGAAACAAAAAAAAAATGTTTTTTTTTGTTTTTAAATCAAATTTTTAGATCGAGATATAATTGGTTTAGCAGAAACTGGTTCAGGAAAAACAGGTGCATTTGCATTACCAATACTTCAAGCATTATTAGCATCACCACAACGTCTTTTTGCACTTGTTTTAACACCAACACGTGAATTAGCTTATCAAATAAGTGAACAATTTGAAGCATTAGGTTCAAGTATTGGTGTTAAATGTGGTATGAAAAAATAAAAAGATTATTTCAATAAAAATTTTATTTATTTTTTTTCATAGCTGTTATTGTTGGTGGTATGGATATGATGTCACAATCGATAGTATTAGCTAAAAAACCACATATTGTTGTAGCAACACCTGGTCGACTTGTTGATCATTTAGAAAATACAAAAGGTTTTTCACTTCGTTCAATACGTTATTTAGTTATGGATGAAGCTGATCGAATATTAAATATGGATTTTGAAGTTGATTTAGATAAAATTCTTAAAATTCTTTCATCATCATCAACACGTTCAACATATTTATATTCAGCAACAATGACAAAAAAAGTTGCAAAATTACAACGTGCTTCATTACGTGATCCAGTTAAAATTGAAGTATCAGATAAATATTCAACTGTTGAAAAATTACAACAAGCATATTTATTTATACCAGCTAAATATAAAGATGTTTATTTAATTTCAATATTAAATGATATGAGTGGAAAATCTATTATTGTTTTTGCTTCAACTTGTACAACAACATTAAGATTAGCATTATTAACTAGAAATTTAGGTTTTACAACTGTACCATTACATGGACAAATGAGTCAAGTAAGAATGAAAACAAAGAATCGATTGTTCAAAAAACATCAGATTTTTTCGAACAAGTTCATCTGATAGAGAAAACATTGCTAAACACAATGAGATATCTCCGAGCTCTTCGTGACCAATCTTCGGTGAATTACACCTATTCTACGGAAGTCACAGCCTTGCAGGCGTATTGTACAATGATTGCCATTAGCTGAAGATAGGATTGGAATTTGATTTCAGCTAATCCTTTCTTTGACTGATTCTAACTGTTACCATTGAGGAAAGAGTCAAAAATACTGCATGTCTAAACTGTTTGCCTCCAGTTTAAGTTAAATAACTTATTAAACTGAAAGAGCAAGATGTGTTCGTGGGTACTGCAATTTCTTGAAGACTATCATTTATTAATAAAAAGATTTCATGAGTAAAATACTCACTGACTGATTTCAATGAGAGAGGTCAGCTATTATTGTAAGTTACACGGTTAACACTGATGCTAATAGTACACTCGATCTTGTATCTGAATGAGAAATGTCATCGAACTGAATAGATTTTCTATTTTTATCTATTGACGAAACGTAAATTTCAAAAATGTTCAGATAATAAAGATTCCTAATTGTTATCAGTTGCGAGATGCATTATCCATGTAAAAAAAATCCGATCGGAGCAGCTCGATAGAAGTTTAGATGATCAGTATGTTCCCCGCTGAAATTCGGTAATTTCCATTTCGATGATCGAAGCTATCGGTGATAAGGTACACAATCGTTTAGATCCGACGGATCCTGAAAGCCCACCCATTTCGAGACCTACTTGGATATGTATATATGATCGCGTCATTCAATTCGATAAATACACTCATTGAATGGAATCTCGTAAACATTCCTTCCTTATAATACGGCATAAGACTATAGAAATTGCAGCCACTCCTCCACAAGAGAGTCTTCTTTCCCGGGCTAGTTTTTTTGCTAATATTTACCTAGAAAACTAGAATTTTTGTTACGCTCTAGTTTGCCAATCTCACTTATTCGTTTTTCTATTTTTATTATCGAGAGTTACTTTAACATTTTGATTAGTCATATTTATATATTTACATGATGAAACTTTTTTTCTATAGACAAAACGTCTTGGTGCATTAAACAAATTTAAAGGCAAAGCTCGATCAATTCTTATAGCTACTGATGTAGCTAGTCGGTAATGTTTAGTTGTTTTTTTTTTATTTTTAAATATCCAAACTAGTAATCTAATTATTATTCTAGAGGTTTGGATATTCCACATGTTGATATTGTTATTAATTATGATATTCCAACACATTCAAAAGATTATATACATCGTGTTGGTCGAACAGCACGTGCTGGTCGTAGTGGTAAATCAATAACATTTGTAACACAATATGATATTGAATTATATCAACGTATTGAATATCTGATTGGTAAACAATTATCACAATATGTTACACATGAAGATGAAGTTATGCTTTTATTAGAACGTGTTAATGAAGCTGATCGACAAGCTCGAATACAAATAAGAGAAATTGAAGATGATAAAAAAGATAATCGACGAAAACGTAAAAACAAAGATAAACAAAATGATGATTTTGATGATATGAAATCATCAAACAAAAAACGAAAACATGAATATAACGATTCTGAAAATGGTTTTGGTGTTAAAAAACATTTGAAGAAAAAAAAAAGAATAAATAAATAAATAAATAAAAATTTTGGTTATTTTCTCTCTCACATTATATATATGTTAGAGAGAATTTGTTAAACACACAAGAAAAAAGTTTTTTTTTCATTCTTTGCAAATCTAAATATGCGGAAAAAAAGAAAAATTATATTGAAAACGATACCTCTTATGGTCGTGTATGATTTTCGTCGAATGTTATATTGTCATGACTGACGAGAGAATATCTGCAGGTATCAAATTACTTTTTCGACCGAGACAATGTCTAATAGAAAAGTCTAAAATGGTTTGATTTTTCAGACTTTTGTTCTTGCAATATCAAAATTTTACTGGATTTTCTAACCAAAAGCAGTGTTATGTGGAAAATCGACTTTCGACTTCAAACTTTACAAGAACGAACTTCTCAATGAGATTAGTTGATTGTGCAAGTTTTAGTTTTTTTACACATGAGAGAATATGGTAATATCTCAGGGCATGATATACTAAAAAAGTTACAAGTTGTTCAATAAGTTAATCTCAGTGAGAACTTTAGTCATAGAAAGTTTTAAAATCGAAAGTCGATTTTCCACATGACACAGTATTCTGTTGAAAAAGCCAGTGAAACTTCGATATCTCCAGAACGAAAGCCCGGAAAACCAAACTATTCTAGACTTTTCTATTAAACATCGTCTCGGTCGAAAAGCAATTTGACATCTGAAGACGTTCCCTCATGAGTGATTACATTGTTTGACAGATATTCATATGGCACTGTATTCAAACTTTGGTATCGCCAGTCATGGAAACTATTCTGAACAAGTTGCTAATAGATGTTTGTCTCGGATTGCACGTCCGATAGGATATTGACTAAGTTGTGACATACATCGGTCCTTCCCATGGTTAATCAAAACACAAAAATTTGTCATATGTCACTTTCAGTCACACATTGAACGGTTTGTTTCAATTCAACATATAATTATATAAAAAAAAATTTCACGCAACTGAAACGATCAACAAGTGATCTCATATTATCAAAGGATATGAATGATAAACTCGAATGTATGCCAAATCGTTAAGATGTCGATGAATGAAACAATCTAACTTACATTCATATTCTTCTTCTTCTTCTCAAATAAATCAAATATAATATTTAGACTTAAAATCTTATTCAAGTCTCTTTTCATCATCGATATTTTATTATTAGAAATAAAACGAATAAAGATGAAAGAAGTTCAATATAATCAAAATAGATCGATTCACAGTTTTAAATTTGATTTCGTGTTAGTTGAAGAACAGAAGGTTGTCGTAGTTTTCGCATTTGTATTGTCATTGGTACTACTTGACTTCTCCAGCATTTTAATTTTAACAGTATTTGTTTGATTTGTGGAGTAATAAATGCAATCACTATACTAAGTGTGAACACAGTTAATATTGGACCCATAAATTGAATTCGATACATATAATATGAGCCTGAAAAACGAAAATCAACATTTGTCATCAGAGTGAAACCTAGATTTGGTATTCCTGGTAGAATAAGAACAATAACAGTAAATAAAATACGACGAGTAACAGCAAGATCACGATGTGCTCTTCTTCGTTTTTGCGCATGTAACAATTGAGGAGCTTTATAACGAATAAAATACAACAAACGAGCATAGATTAAGGCCAAATAAACAGGAGGTAAAAAGAAGATATTTATAATTGTATAAGAAAGTTCAAGAATTTTTTCATATCGAATACTACATGAATAATCTGATTCATATGAAGAATAATATAGTTCTGACCAAAAGTATGATGGAAGTATTAGTAGAAAATAAATAATCCATTGAAGTACAACGCATATTAAATTGAATGAAAATGCCTACAATTACATTCTTAGTTTTTTTTTTTAGATTACTTCAACATCAATATAAATAATTCCATCAAGTATATTTCAAAACTATCCATGAGAAGAAAAAAAAGAACCGATTAAAATTTACATACCTGTAAAAATTTATATTTAGTATATACAACTCTTGTTAATCGATAAAATGCTTGAAGGACACAACTCATATAAAAACAGCCAAATGTTTCATAAGAAAGAAAATTTAGAATTCGACATTCAATTGATTTTTTATTAGTAAGACTATCAATACCATATAAATCTCCTTTAAGAGTATTAATAGTCAGTAATAAAATCATGAGAGAAAATGCAAGCATAGCTGCATATGTATTTGTTATAAGAAGAAGTGAAACATCTTTTTTTTGTTGTAGATGAATGATCAAGATAAACAAGAAAATGCAAGCAATCAATATTGTAAGACTAGAACTGATTAGAGTAATAAAAGTAAGAATAATATTTCATGACATTGACTTTTTTTTTGACTGAATATTAAAGACGTGTCTAAGAAAATGACGCTTTTCTCTCACTTGTTCTCCTATAAAAAAAGAAAGTTTCATTTTTTAGCTAAAAAACTACGGAAGTATTTAACAAGAGATATGTTCTTATTCAGTAAAACTCTAGTCGCATTCAAAAAACTTCGAATGTACTTTGTATTGAATCCCATGAAAAAGAAGAAAATGATTCTTCAAATGCAGTGCCAGTGAAACTTTGATTGTATTCTTTAATTCACAGTTGATAATGACGGTTTAGGTAGCAGATGTATATCCATTTCTTTGCAGATTCGAAATACTGAAATAATACCAAATCTATGAATATTTTTAAATTCGAATTTTTCGTTCTTGATAAATGTATCTAAAGCGACAGTTAGAAATGAATGAGTGGAATGCTAGTAATTAAAATGTCTGACTTTGATATAAAACCTATTTTTAAAATTACTTTTTTTTCTAAATCAATTTTGTATGAATAATCCAGATAAAAGTCTTGAAAAATTTCGATCACAAGAAGAGAATAAATTTAATGTTAGAAATCGGTTTCTAATTAAATTTGAACTCTTCTTCAAATGTCATCTTGAACTTTACTGAATAATAAGCTTTTTCTAGACAACTCGTTTTGTTCTCTGTTCGACTGTGTAGAAAAAAAAACTTGTGCATGTTTTAAATTTGCAACACTAATTGATCTCTAGCAATTAATTTTGGTCTTGAATGTAAATTTAGAAATAAAATGTTATAATAGAATTAATATTTTCTTTCATTTCAACGTGTATTTCAGTCCTGTTAGATCTCAGGCAAAAAAGCTCTCGAAATCATAGTATATAATCTTAAACACACATGAAGCAAAAAAAAATTATACTTTACGAATCTAATTAATTTCAACAACATTATATCACAACACTTTGTATATTTTCTACAACAAGAAATAATTTTATCTAATTACTTGAGAAGCACGAAGGTGTTGAGCTTTTACTTAAATTAGAATATGGATTAGCAACTATTTATATCTGTATTATTAGTGTGTTTAGTGCATGCTGAATGATTTTATGAAGATATTGTCAACTGAATTTCAGTGTAAAAGGCAAGTATGGCTAATTGTGCATATTCTTTCAGCACATTTCCTATATAAATATTAAACATCCAAAAAATAAATAGATTCTAATCGATGATATAACAGTGTTTTATCCAGGTTTTTTTTTGGAAGGGCGAAAAATTTTTTTCGGGAGGGGGGCAAGCCATATAGTTCGTCGTGCGATAATCGCAAGCCTCAAGGGGGCGAACGCGATTTTCGGGTGGGTGCCGCTCACTCGGGCACCGCTCTGGATAAAACACTGAATGATGTATGTACTAAATTTTGATAATAAAAAATAATCTATCTAATTGGAATGTTAGTAATTGAATCATTAGTTTAAAAGGTACCACCAGTATTAAAAAAAATCATCGATCATATGACTAAGGTCCATATGCCCTGAGATATGAAGTAGGATGAATTTCCCTACTATATTTCGACTGCGCTATAGTATCACAGCTAAGAAATATACTTAATATTTTTGTGCAAAGTGAATAACAAAAACAAATGAAGATGATGTGTAAGAAAATATTCAAATATGATATTCATCTTCTATTTAGTCATTTATATATCCTTATTTTCTCGATTCTTTCATTTTTGCTTCGATATTGGTTAGATTATTTGACAACTTCATATTTCGAAAGAAAAGTCATGTTTTCTTTGTTTCTAACTAGATACATCATTCAAGAGATCTTACAAATGACTTTCAAAATAACAAAAGTTATATCAAACTAATTAACAAATCCGAATAAAATTCAATGATTGTGGAATTGTCGCTAGCAGTTGTCAAGGACAGCATAAAGTGTATTTACCTATTCCCTTACGAAGGTCTTCCTGAATGATCTCTCGAAACTATAGATCTATGTCATTACTTGTATACATATATACGATACTAATATATTACGAAGAATTGATCTACAGAAAACCCAGTTACTAAACAACCAAAACGTACAATATATATATCAAAAAGTGAAAGTATTGTGGATTTTCTGTCATGGATATAGCATACATTATGCTGTCCATTTATCCAATTAATTGTACGATACCCAGTGTGAACCAGAGAAATCGAATGATGACTTTTTTTCTTTTTTAACGAGACCGAATCGAGATTTTCTTATTTGTTTTGATCTCTTATGTGAATATAGCTTCTGTTGATTCTATCCATTAGATTGGATTCATGTCATAAGAAATTAAACGATTCAAATTGATATTCGTCATAGCGAAGAAAATAGAATTCGGTAAACCAGATAGCGTAAGAGTATTCACAATAAACAAAATACGGCAAATGACAATGAAATTAACTTGAACTCTTGTTCATCGTAGGACAATTGAGGGAAGGAAGGTGGAGCATAAATGATGATTAGTTTTAAAAAAAATAGGAAGAAGATGCGTATTCATTCCTGTATGAAAGAAACCGCTAATTACAGTCTTGATCAAACTCGATTGATGTCACAAAAAATGATCAGAATGCAGCTGTTGACTTTTTCAGAGTTTGAAGTGAATAGAAGTCGACATCATCTTTGAAATCGGAAATTGAAACGCATCGAAAACGAAATATTTAAAACTTCACGAACAATAACTAAAACGATGTAATCTTTATTTCAACTCGTTTGTAAACTTACTTCAAGGGTTTGGAAAAGTCCTAGATCCAGAATGTGAACGAGTTTCTATCATATTAGATCGAAGTAGACAGATCTAAGGAATAAATCGTAGAGCTTTTACTCTATCGTTCTATATGAAACATTTTATTCTAATAATTTTCCTGTTGAAAACTTGGTTTTTAAAGATTTGCCACGTTCTTTTGTTATCCCTATTGAAAAAAATACGCTTTTGATAGAAAATAAGCCATGTCAACATGCTCTATAGAAATTGTTCATCGTACAGCATCCGACTCGACCCATAGCATGAATCTATGTATGATCTCTGTACCAGATTCAACTCGGCAATTGATAAGATCTTGACGTTTCAAAATATTTTTAAACTGCTAATTTATGTAAAAGCATAAAAGTGACAACCTATACGATTTATCGTATTCGGGAACAGGTCATAGAAGCAGAAAATAATATTATTTTTATTAAAAGAAATCGTTTGTAATGAAAATTCATCTACAGATGATGAATTGAATACATCGAAAGAAACATGTTTGTATCCACAATTATAACACGAACACTGCGTTTTATTCCAGCGTCATCAACAACAATCAAATGTACACTTAGCAAAATTGATTGAATTTTAGAAATTTAAGATGATGTTGTCTTTCTTGTTGTTGCTGTTTTATAGAAGAAACTAAATAATATACTTTTTCGTATAAAATACAAGGTTTGAAAATCATACTGTGATTGTGAAAGTATTTTCAAAATAATATCTTTTCTATTATGTGATTGAACAAGATATTTCTTTCTATTTTTCAAAAAACTATACACGTGTGCATATCAATGTATATATATACATCTGACTAATCCTTATCTTGATCACCTATATCATTTATTTATCAATAAACAGAAGAAATAAAAATAGTGATTATAAACTCATCCTTCTTATTGTTAAGTAAAATGAAGAAAACGAACAAGATCATATTTCAAATCGATCATATATTTATCAGTTAAATGTATTTAAAACAGTAGTTTATTATGTCCGAATTTATGCTCTCCTTGAAGTATAAGACTGACGATAATAGTCAATGATCTTTATTTAAACATTATATTCATATAGCGCTACATCAAACAACTTCTTCTCTTTGGTATTGAATGATAATATTCAAAGATTAGAAAGTCACGTCTTTTCATTTATTCAAATAGATTAGCAAGTATTACGAATGAAATTTTATTACAGATGTAACTTATTGTAATAAAAAAAAAAAAAAAGATCAAGATAACGACAATACTTAACAATAAACAGAAGCTTTATTCTTCAAAACTAATCATATTGTTCACTTAACGAACGATAAGTATTGAGCACATGTTAATTCTTTTTTTTTTTGCATCCAGCAAGTTAATATAATTGAACATGATGTGTAATTGTGATAACAATATATCCAATAATATTAAGGAAATCGACAAAAAAAAAACGAAGAGCAACATTATATTTTTCTTTTCTTCTTCTTATTTTAATTGGAATTAACCCTCAAGCAAAGTAACAATTGATTGAATGTCTGGACAAACGAAGAAGAGTGTTGATGAAGTGAAGTGACACAATACAGAAGCTCTATGCAAATATATACACAACCAATCATGTACAAATATCTATTTTCTTTTTCTCTCATACACATAAATGACACTTTGGAGAAATAAATTGTTATTTAGAAAAGCAAAAAAGAAATAATCTCTTAACTGTTAAGATTATATTTTATTGATTTGAAGGAAAGAACGATAATTAAAAAATACTCGAAATTTTCTATTATTAAAATTTACATTGAATTCATTGCAGATGACGGAATTTCGACCAATAAAAAAAAAAAAATACTATCTGATATTATGCAAAAAAGATTTGATAATCTTCTTTCTGAAAATTACAAAAAACAAAAATAATAAGTTTTGCTTGTATTCGATAAAATAACATAGACTCGAATTCAATCAATAAAAATTTAAGTTTTAGTAATTCATGAATTTAATTTCAGTATCTTTAAATGAATGTCTTATTTTCCCGCCTTATAATCACAGTTTCAATGTTTTTCTTTGCCCATCGGTCAATTGACAATATCTACATGCTATGAAATTGTAAAATGATTTTTCAAGAATAACACCTTTTTTTTTGTCGTTCTCTCTTTCTCATATGTTATAAAATAATTAAAATTAATTGAATCAATTCTATGTTCATTATGTTTAGTTTACGGATGAGTAACAATCTGAAAAATATTATTTTCAATTCTTATTTACATAGTCTTTTGAATATTTTTTTTTTTTAGTTCACAGCTGTCGATTTATCACAAACAAAAAAAAAATATCAAGTTAACCAAAAGCTTCAAATGAAGGGTAACACATGTTGTTTGAAAATAAATTCAATTGAATACAATCAACTTAGCAGAATAAAACTTTATATTTTCTTAATATAAATGATCATCATTGGTTGACAATTGAAGACAACTATCCAATTGATATTAGATTTCACATATTTCAATTATAATTATAAAAGAAAACTAAATCATATCTTTCTTTCTTTCTCTCTTTTTCTCTTCATCCAATCATTGATCAGATAGAGAAAAAAAGGTAATTCAAACATAAATTAATTCATTCTATCAACGCATTAGAGAAGTTTCAATTAATCATGCTTGTTTATAATGATTCACCATCACGAAAATCAAATGGATTTTGTATTGATGATATTATTAAAAATAATAACTCACCAAAAACTTCAAATCGATCATTATCTTATACACCACCGATTACATGGCTACCACTACAAACAACAAGTATTTATCAATTTCAACATGAATCAATATTTCAATATCTTCGACATACAAATCAATTTCCTACTAGTTTGTTGTTTTTATTGAAAGAAAAAAAAAAACTAATTTAATTTTCTAGACTCAGGATCGATGGCTACATTTTTTCTTAATTCATATCGTAAACCAAAACGTAATCGTACAGCTTTTACACCATCACAATTATTAAAATTAGAAAATGCATTTGAAAAAAATCATTATATTGTTGGACAAGAACGTAAAGAATTAGCAAAACATCTTAATTTACCTGAAGCTAGAGTAAGAAAATCAATTAGAACAAAAAAAAAAAATAAATCAATCTTTTAGGTTAAAGTATGGTATCAAAATCGTCGTACAAAACATAAACGTTTAATAAATGAAGATGGTAATAGTATTAGTACAAATGAAACTGATCATCATAATGAATCTGATATAATAATTCAAAATTCTAATGAAGAGAATTCTAAACATTATCATTTAAATCTCAATCATCGACAAAAAAAATCTTATTCAAATTAATAAAAAAAAAAAAAAAAAAGATAAACCGGTTGTCTATTATTTATTTATTTAATACATTCCATTTGTTTTCTGTTACATGAGTAGTATGATTCATTTTGGTTTTTACAGATAATAAAATATGTATTTAGTAAAATAATTGTGACACAAGGTAATGTTGATATTTTTCCTACAATTAATACTAGCCGTAGTTCTGAATAGAAATTCAGCTTGACGCAAAGTCTCAATAACTTGAGCTGCTTATACATACTAACCAACCACAAGCGTAGGATATTTTCTATGTGACTACAGCTTTCTGTTCGAAAGACCCAGTAAGAACAAAGGTTCGGAAAACCAAATCATTTTAGACTTTTATATTAGTCACTAGTATTCATTAAATGCACATCGTCTCGGTCGAAAAAGGTAACTTAACATTTGAATAGGTTTTCTTCTCAGCAATAGCAGATGCAAGAAAAATGTCAAGCTGTTCATTGGCATAAAAAAAACGGCGTCATATCGAACATAATTTCGTTTATTATAATAATCCTTTGTTATTGTTGTCATTTCATCGTTGTTCTAGAGTTTGCTTGGATACATTCATAGAAAATTACAAAAAGATTGATATTTATTTTTTATTTATGTGATATTAACACCCAGGTATTCTTTTTCATAATAATCAACACATCATTTTCCAGGGCAGTAACATGAAGATATAAAATATCGAAGAAAAAAAGACTGTCTAGATCGGTTTTTAAAGCAGTATTGAAATATAACTTAAAAAACAGAAATCATTTATTTTGTCATCTTATAAGGGAAGCCCTTCACAATTAATGAATCACTAGTGGGTCGAGACTCTGTGTCTTTAGCTTACTGCTGCATAGAGACAGTCTTTTGATGTGCTTCTATCCTGAAATAAGAACATCAAATCTACTGGTTTATATGTGTGATGTAAGAGACACGCTATTACCATAATTATAGCTTAGAATAGAAATAGGAACAAGATTCAAAATCTTCACAATTAACTAATCTTGTTAATGCGTGTCTCTATGCAAAGTCTCAAGTTGAAAATCAGTTTTTTCTGATGTACCACGGCATTCATTTAAAAAATACCGTAAACGTACAGTATCACTGCAGCAATAAGCAAAGAACACAAACTCTTTTCAGAATATTCATCGCTCATTTGAGCCTGCATAATCTCGACTGAAAAACAGAGGACTTTCGTCGTTAGTCTTGAAACAGTATTAAATACACTTAAACATTAATTTATTTTTATTTTTGTCGTTTTTTTTCATGATTAGAAATTATAAACTGTAGATTTCTCTATTATATAGTATGAAATTACTCACATGTGAGTTTTTGTGTGTATATTTACCAAATGTGAAAGAAAATATGGATCATAACTATTAATGATAGACGTACCAATGAACAAAACGAATCAATTTAGAGACAAGAAAGAACAATTTTAAGTAGAATGAAAAATTATGCTTGCAATACTGTAGCTCTATTGTGAAGTCCTTATACTAATTCATTACTTCAATTTTTCGTTCTTAGATCTATGATAAAGATAACAAATGTCAGAGATTAGAGGAAAAGAATTATCCAAAATATCACATTTTAATGTAGTATTGTCAATTGAGTCTACTTATATCCCAGGATAATAACGAAAGGTTTTTGATAATTATAAAAATGAATTTTTGTTTTTGAATATGAATCATACCTATAATATATAAGATTTTTTTTTACGATAGAAATTTGATCATTTATTTATAGAAAGAGATTTTATGTTTCTTTACTTTTATTTTTTTCTTGCTTTTGTTTTTATGCAAATAACTACGATAGTCGTCGTTACTCTTTAGTTATTCATCGTTTGATGCAAACAAAAAGAAAAGAAAAGCACATATTGATGTCAGCAAGAAAAATACGAAGGCTGATATATACCTCCGACATCGAATTATTTTCATTGACATAATCGAAAATAAAAAAAGGAACTATTAACTACTACACAATGTCGTCTGCATATGATGCTGCTAATGCTTTACCATCAAATTTTGATATAGGTGGTTTATCAAATGCATTTAATAATCCAACACAAGTTTTTAGAATGTTAGATAAAAATAATGATGGACGTGTAACAAAACAAGATTTAGCACAATTATTAGAACAATTTGGTGTTAATGGTATGGCAGCTAAAGTATTATCATCATATCTTTTTAAACAATTAGATGCTAATAATAATGGAACTATTGAACCAAGTGATCTTATACATGCAAATGGAATTTTACAAAATTTATTTAAAATGAAACAAAGTGGAGGCGGCTATTGAAAACAAAAAAGAATAAATCATAAATAACTATCACTTATATTTTTCTTTTCATTATATAATACATAAAATTTTCAAAAACAAAAAAAAAATTTGTAATTAACAACTATTTATCCATAATAATCATTATGAAATAAAATATTCATTTCGATTAAAGTTATATAATTTTATGACTTTATACTTCAGACAACTATACTGAAGTAGTAAACTTAAAACCAGAGATCATATAAAAGTTATCTCTATAGAATCATAATTAACTGTGTATATTCAAAATAAAATAAAATTTTTTTGAAAGATTGACAATAGCAACGTACAGTTCTCGCAATAGATAAAGAATATCTTCCTTTTATGACTTTTATAATAAGTATTTAAAAAAAACTGCAACAATATTTTTTGTAAATGAACTCTTGAAATTAAACTATGCTATATAGCATTTAAAATGGCATAGAAATTGAGAAATTATTTTTTGAATGATAGAAAACAATCCAAGTTATCATTTAAAAGCTGTCTATTTAATACAAGATTGATAATGTTAAATAGAATTCTTTTGCTTTAGAAGATAAGCATCATATAACTATAAAAAAAACTCTACTCATTGTATTCTTGTGACACAAATTTGATAAATCAACGTTAAGCACAGATATTTGAGCACAAGTCGTCGTTCAGCATGATTGTCTTAAACTCATATTTTACACTGTGTAATAGCGATGCAGATCAGAAAAAGAAAATGTACATTTGAAGAAACATGCAAATGTGACTTTCGAAAGAAGAGACTATGATGTGCTTTACTGGAAAAAGGATTAATGGTGAAAGAGAAATCTTTTTGCATTGTGAATTTGTTTAGTATTGAAAATGTTTAATAGACATGTAATCTTAGTCAGTGGAGGCGAAGACAAGTTTTGACGGATTCAAGTTAATCTGACTACAGCTCTTCTTTATTTGTAATGAAGAACTCTCACTTCTAGTCATTGTCAATGTATGATTCAATATTTATACAAAACTCAATGTTTCCTCAAAAACGTTGTCTAAGTTTGCTTGATTAAGAAAATGTTATTATTAGCCACCAGACGCGGCGAAAAATATTGGTGTTTTCGTAGCTGTGATATATAGGGTGTCCTGAAAGTCCTTAGAGTTAGGAAAATTTTCATATCTCCTTTACGGCTCGACCAAACGAGCTCATTTTTTTAACAAAGATTGAGGCACGTTCACACTCCAAATCCATATGGACAAGAGTATTGAGAATCTTTATTAAGTATCACTATTGACCTCAACAAGAAAATTTTACTGTTCCACAGAGAGGAAGAAAAACCATATACTTAACAAGGGTTCTCACTAACTTTGTCAGTATGGATTTGGAGTGTGGATATGCCTCTATCCTGGGTAAAAATATCAGTTGGTTCGCTCAAGCCATAATGAAGAGAGTCAATTGTCTTTTCAATAAAGTGTCTTTTGCCCTGTCCTGTGTAATGTTTGTTTTCCTAACTGTGAAACAGTAAAATTTTCTTGTTGAGGTCAATAGTGATACTTAACAAAGATTCTCAATACCCTTGTCCATATGAATTTGGAGTGTGAACATGCCTCAATCTTTGTTAGAAAAATGAGCTCGTTTAGTCCAACCATAATGAAGATATCCAAATTTTTGTAACTCTAAGGACTTTCCGGACACCCTATATATATATAAAACGAATGGACAGGCAGTGTCACTGATGTTATGTGACAGAAGGAAGACGAAGATGACCTTTGTGGGACTTGAACTCACACTTTCTGCTATCCGGGCAGATGTCCTAAGACAGTTAGAGACCTGAAGGAAGATCTTAATCTTCGTTTAGTGTGAGTGTATATCATCAAAATTGCTAACATGTTTGTATAAGAAATATTATGCACTGCTAATATCTACCAGTAGGAGAAAAGTATTAGAACCTATGAAGCGTGAATCTAGGATAGACTTTGGTCTATTCAAACCTTATAGGTTCACTGCCTATCCTTATTGGACACGAGTTGGTAGTAGATAAATGTGGAGTTGTCGTGTAACAACTCGTTAATTGTCAGAAGAAAGCGAGAATTAAACAGTAATAGAAAATTTTTACATTAAATAGAATCTATCTAAGTCTTTATAGGTCTAATACAAGGTGGCTAGCGCTTATTAGAGTGAATGCTATGTAGGAAGATAATTATATTAATTTCTCTTCGATTCAATGTCTTATAAAAGGATTTTCATCTATTGAACATATTTTATTGTTCAACATGTGATATATATATAGATTGTCATCGAATAAAAATATAAATAGATTTATTGTATATTTTAATCAACAATAAAATAATATATAAAAAAAAAGTAGTTGTTATATATTTTATACATAAAAATTTTTTTATTGAAATAACGATAATTTATTTTTTTCGATTTGATAAGAAAAATTTTTAGTTCGATAAAATTTTAATAAATAAAAAACAAATAATAATCGATCGATAATAAAATGATATAATAATAGATATACAATTTGATTTTATATTATTTGGTGATTGTGGATTAATTTGTGGTGATAGATTATTATAATTTGTATTTGTATTATTAATCTTATCATTTATTAATGATGCCAATGCAAATGAATATAATAAATGATCGACCTATGAAAATTTTATTTATTAATATTTTTTTTGGATTAAACAAAACTTACTTTTACAATATTACCATCATTATTACAAAAATCTGAATTACATAAATAGAAAAATTTAAATGCACTATGTGAATTATCAAATCCATCATTTGCTATTTCTTCAATTATATTAAATCGATATTCAATATCATATTGTATATCAGAATAATTCATAGCACAACTTTTTTGTAATGAATGACCTTTTGAAAAACTAAATATACATTGATGTTCATTATTTTCACATTGTATATCAGTATCATCTTTGATACAACTAGAGAAATACAAAATACAAAAAATGTTCTCTTTTTTTTTCGAATTTCAAATTTTACTTAAGTTGAAATCCTTCTATTGAATTGGATACATGAAGTAAATCAATAGTTCGTTTGAATATATCTAATCTTGTTTCAATAATAGTTAAATTTGATAAAAGATTACGAAGTTTATAAAGTGCACAATTATCAAATGTTTTACATTGAAAACGTGTTGTCATTTGTATTTTTTCTTGTTCTAAATTACCAACAATTTTATATTGTACAACACTTTTTATACCATTAGCAAAACCAAACATATCATCATAAGGATTTGAAAATGATTGTAATAAAGTTGTATGAGTTAAATAAATTATCATTTTCTTTGTATTATAATCAATTAATATTTCTGCATAACAAGAACCATCAGTATTATTGAATAATGACATAGAATTAGCTTCATGTATTGCACAATTAGTATATGTTTCAATTAATTTTTTATCATCAGGAAATGGATCACTGATATTAAGTTCAAATCTACATGTTGATAATGATATTAAAGAACCAACTTGATTTGTCATACAGAGAAGTGCATTTGTTGGTAAATATTTTATAAATAAGAAAATTAAAATTAAGAAGTACATAATTGAATAAGATGATAAATGAGAATAATAAATGACATGGCGCTCGTTTTTGTTTTTTTCGAATTCAACTAAATTATTTTCTTTATTCTCAATATAGAAATTGATAATTTATAAGTTAGTTATTTAAATATTTTTCGATTCGATGGACTCTTCCTACAAAAGATTAATCAATCAGATTCGAATCTAAAATTTTGATCGACCGGAATTAGATCCAACAAATTTTAATCGGTTGGGTTCGAGTCCGAAAATTCTTGGACCCGATGGGCTATAGCTACGGGTTAAACATTTCTGGACGTCCAGGTACTATCTTTTTGTCGCACGAGTTTTCGCGAAATTAGTATAGAATGGCTTAGTTTTTCGGATCTTCATTCTTGGGAAATATCGAACTTTTACTGGGTTTTTCAACAAAAAGCTGTGCTCACATGAAAAATCGACTTTTAAATTTTGCACAAACAAAGTTCTTCATGAGAATAATTGATTGTGTAAGTTTTAGCTTTTCTACTTAGGGCATACCAAAAGTACTGGCAGTGACACTTTAATACCCTATAGTAGGGTTTAAGAAACTTTCTTTCTATATAGTCTGATAGAGAAAAAAATGCTCTATCTTTCTATACTATTTGATCGTACTTCAACTAATCTCATAGTATTAAATTATCTATAAAACCAATTTCGGCTGGTTATATGCTGGTTGTAAGTTTTGCATTGCAGTTTTCGATTTCTTACTAGTTGTATTAATAACCAAAATATACTATAAGATGCAGCGTGAAAAGCTCTACAATTTGCATACGACCACTTATTTTATAGCTGCAATTTTTGTTTTCGAAATCGACAAAATTTGGAGCAATCAAATTGTGAAGATGCGAAAAAGACAATGTTTTCGATACACAACGAATTCATTTTTGTTATTTCATTGTTTATCACCTGATATGCTTTACCAAAAGAAAAACAAAATATACCACAAGATGCAGCGTGAAAAGCTCTACAATCTATACAGTAAAGCTTATTGTAATTGTTTTCAAAAAAAGGAAAATTCTATGCGACCAATTTTCTCAGTACCAAAAATTTGATCCCTCAAAACTTTATCGATTTTGAAAGCAAAAAGTGCAGCTATAAAATAAATGGCCTTACGTAAATTGTAGAGCTTTTCACGCTGCATCTTATGGTATATTTTGGTTGTTCATACAATGTCTTGAGGGATTGAAAACTAGTCTGTTCTCACACGTTGTAATCTAGTACAACCAGCACATAATCAGCCGAAATAGGTTTTATGGATAATTTAATATTATGAGATTAGCTGAAGTACGGTCAAATAGTATAGAAAGATAGAGCATTTTTTTCTCTATCAGACTATATAGAAAGAAAGTTTCTTAAAGTCTACTATAGGGTATTAAAGTGTCACTGCCAGTACTTTTGGTATGCCCTAAGTCGTATTTCCTGTAAATTTTTATACATGAAAGAATTTTGATTATTTCATAACTCAAGTTACGAGATACTAGAAAAGTTACAACTTATCCAATGAATTAATCTCATGGAAAACTTTGCTTGTGCAAAGTTGATTTTTCATTGAGAACGAAGATCCAGAAAATCAAATCATTCTAGACTTTTCTATTACTCATCAAATAAACATCGTCTCGGTCGAAAAACGATTTGACACCTAGAGAGATTCCCTGGTGAGTTTTTTTTGTTTTTGAATAGCATTTTAAAATATAAAATGAACTGAATGTTCATTAGTTAATAATTGAAGATTATACTACATGAACAGATAATTTTCGAGTGCCATCGGCATTGAATTTCATTTTTTTTTCTTTCTACAATTTTAAAATCGAATCCAGTTCATATACAAAAACTTTTCAATAGGTTAGATTTTTATTTTTTATTTATGAAATATGTTTACTCATTTCTAATAGGGTGTGTGTCACTTCTTCGCCTACTCACATCGGCACCCATGTCGTGAGAGCAAGTGTTCCGGGAGCATCTGTGTTAGTAATCGGATACCTAACGCTTAGTATACTCAGTAGGGTAACAATTTTTTTTTCTACACATTCTAATGCAACAAGAGAACAAAAATAGATATTTTAAAATTAGAAAGATCTTCTTTTATTCTAAATAGAAATTCAGATGTTTATACTAATGTGTTTGCTCGATGAGTGTAAATGGATTAGTTCAAATTCTATTAAAAGATTTTTTTTTTGTTGTTGTTGCACAGATTAGAATCTTAACATGAGTATTTATATTTAAAAATCAAATATTTGATTTATTTTCAAAATATAAATGTTGAAAAAAAAATTTTTTTATAACAATCTAAGAATTTCTTGAAGTGTTGATGAAATATTAACACCAAATAATTTGTATTTTAATGAAGAAAAATCGAGTATTTCTAAAATATCTTTTTGTAATTGTGGATCTATATTATCAGATTGTCTAAATGAAATTTTATTTAGAATTTTTATTAAAAAAAAAAAAAATGAAATAATTAACTCACTTAAAAATATTAAAAAAATATCTTTCAGAAAATGCTGCAATACCACTAAATTGTGTAAATGTTAGTTTTTCATTTGATGATAAATCCAGTAGAAAAATCACTTGTCTTATAAATCGATTATCAATAGTACCCATATATACATCAGATAATGCATCGACAAGAATCTATCAATTTTTATATGTTTTAAAATATTATTAAAAAAATTTTTTTATGTATTACTTCCATGTTTAATTCTGCTTCAATATCTTTATATTTATCAAAAATACGTTTATAAAGTGTATATCGACGAGGACTTATTCGACAATATTTTTCTAAATATTTTTTAGGTGTAAGTACTAAATAAGAATATTTACTTTATTTTATTTAATGATAAATATTCTTACTTTCAAAAAATTTTATATCGAAAGGTATCCAAAATCGACTTGCTTTTTGAGATAGAACAATATTATTAGTATTTGTATATGAATAAAACATCTACAGATTTATATAAGTAAATTATTGTTTAATAAAACTTACTTCATTATTTTTAGTAGAAAATTCATCAAGACTTTTGTACATGTTTGATTATCTTATCGATTTAATAAATGTATGTTTCGTTTCTTTAAATCTTTCAATTATGTTTTTAATATATAAGCTTGTAAATTACTTTGACGTTAACGTAAAAAAAAAATAATTGAGTAGAATACTTATTACTGTTTTGTATGAATGTGTTCGATCGTAAACAATTTTCAATAAGACATTCATACAACATATAATAGAGTAAATACTTGAGCATTTTCTATTTTCTAGTCATGATTTAAAGTCGTTGGAATAAAGAGAAAAAAAATCGGTGTTATTTCTTAAAACATAAACAATTTCTATTGGTAAGGTTTCTATAAAAGGAGAAGATGATTGTATAAAAATAAGCACGTCGATTATTTTTCAATGTTTATCCTTTTGAATAAGTTTTTCATTGGAATAATGATTATGAATAGTGATGTCATAAATAAGTAACAGACGTTGTTAAGGTGGTCCTTATCTCCTCCAAAATCGATTTTCGATACAGTCCATCGGATTTTCATGAAATTTTCTAAAGATTTTCGGTCAATTTTGCAGCTACAAGCCTTACCGTTGAGAAGATTTCCAGAGGTCAAGATACAAAATAAGGTTTTCACACAAATTGAATATTTAAAATGCAATTCTGCAGAAAACAATGATATAAATAACATACATATAGAATCTCGAATATAGAAAAAAAAGAAGAAGAAGAATTTATATTACATTCTCATCATAATACACTCAATTATTTTTGCTTATTCTTTATTATCAATATTTTGTATAATAAAACAAACGGTATCTAAGAACGAATGAATTTGTCAATGATAAAATCTCTTTTCTTAATTGTTCAGCATTTAATGTACATCCATTTTTAAAATTCTTGGCATTAGAGTTTAACAATTGATGTGATTAAGGTGCAACCGTTCGGTGGAGAAATGGGGAACAATCTCTCCGTCACCACGCTCTAAAATATTCTTCAGTGACGCGGACGGTGCGCATCTCTGATCACAATGAATGTAGATGTATGTGAATATTAACAGAGAAGATAAACACACCTTTATATTTTAATCGATTCTATTTAATTAGCATAGTTTATTCACTTGCGGAGTGATTAAAAAACTTATTCGTTTATTTTATGTTGTATAATAATTAGACTTGTTTTTTTTCTGCTAACAATATTGAACTTTAATATATCTAATCCTATATTATTTCTTTTTGATTATATAATCTTGACAACTGTCAATGCTTATTCATGTCGAAACGAAAATATAATAATTCTCCAGTAGCTCTAAGAAAAGTCGATCATCAAATAAATCAACAACAGATCCTTAAATTGATAAGAATAGACAAACATCTTATCATACGCAATGAATCACAAAATTTCATTGAATTCCAAAAACGGGCGCCATGTCATTTATTATCTTCTTCACATTAATTATTATGTACTTCTTGATTTTTGATTTTCTTATTTATAAAATATTGGCCAACAAATAAACTTCGCTGTACAACACATTCAATTGATTCTACATCATCAAAATCAAAATGTAACTTTTGTACTTAATATTAATGATCCAATTTCTGACGATGCAAAATTAACTGCAACATTTAAGAACTGTGTAATGCATGAGACTGATTCTGTAATAGCAGCTTCCGATCATACTGATGATTCTTATTATCCAGAGATTTTCATTGATTATGATACTAAAATATACTAGTATAAAAAGTGTTGTACAATATAGAATCATTGGTAATTTCAAAAACTGAAACAATATTTATGAAAATACGTATTCAATGCAAAATGTAAGTTTTGTTTAATTAAAATCTCAAGAATAGTTAATGAATAAAATTTTCATAAGTCGATCATTTATTATATTCGTTTGTATTAGGATCATTAACGAATGATAAGAGTAACAATAGAAATAACATTCATAAAAATTCTAGTCAAAAGTTACTATATAACATAAACTCAAATAGTATATTTATTATCTATTATCATTTCGATTATTATTTTTCCTCTATTTATTGAAAATTTTTACTTGAAATTTTTTTTGTTTGTTATCTAAATATAAAAGAGCTTATTAGAGTAGCTCAATTGAGAGTAACCTGTGAAATTCACATGTGTTCTTTAGCATTTTTCTACTAATACAAAATAGGTTAAGTGAACCAATCTCTCTTATTTATTTCTACATTTCGAACAGAACTTTCGATCTATTTTTTGTCTATTTGATTTAACTTGCAAATAAACCTGTTGTACATATTTCTTATATCTACAGCAATGCTCAATCAGAGTCCTGCAGGGTAGTCCTACTCTACATGATATAGAGTAGGGTATAGAATACGAAAAGTGTTACCCTGTAGGACTCTGGTCTCAACACACTCTTATATATCTGGATGAGCTTGCAAACATTGATATTGATTTTTTCCAAAGTGTTTTGAATATAATTTTTCAAGTTCGCAAAAATCAGAAATTGAACTATTTTCAACATGGACAAATGTATTCTAGCCATGCAAATTGCGAGAAAAGCTTTGAAATGTTCTAGAACAGTCTAAGTGATGTTATTAATGACATTTAGCGGCTTTTTTTTTTAGTTCTGAAGGAATTCTGGAAAACTGGTAAAGTGTCGATGATTCTCGGTTGCTATAGAGTAATAAATTTTTGATAATGAATTTATTAAATAATTTTTGTTAATTAACAAATACAATAAACCTAGTTTCTTAAATGATTAGTATTAAATATCGATACATATATTTTTAATATTTCAATAAGAAAAACATATTCTCCTATTGAAAATAATTCTTGTATTATACTGGTTCTGGTGCAAGTTTTAGTGCTGCTTGTTTAGCTAATTGTGGATCAATAATATAATCTAATTGAATTCTATGACGATATGGTACTGGACTTTTACATAATATGTATAAAGCAAGAAGACATACAATCATAACATGAATACCAATGATAATAATAAATACAATTATAAAACGATGATGTTTTTGACTAGAAAATATAAGGCTAATATTTGTAAATTCATTATAATGTTGTTCAATTTGACTAAAATTCATTGATAATAGATAATAGAAATAAATAATTGTATTTTTCGAAGATAAAAATTGATAAATCAATTCAGATGAAAATGATAAATAATATGTGTTATCTATTTCAATCAAATTTGATAAGTGAATGTTTACTTTTTTTTGTTTTTGTTTATCTTCAATAACAATATAGAAACAAGAGAAATAAAGATATATAATCACTCTTATATTTTAATTGATTTATATTATTATTCCTTTTGAATCTTATCTAAGAAATAACACCTTTACTAATATCAAAATCTTATTGAATATGTGAGATAAATCAAGAAACAATAATATTTTCATTCAAAATTTCAGAATTAAATCCTTTTTGCAGTTCTAGAAATGAGGAAGTATCATCAATATTAATTCTCATACTATATACATAGCGATCAGAGCAGCGAAAAGAAAACAAATTAAAATAATTTAGTCTAAAACACAATAGTAAAGCGTTGAATATATGTTATGAACTAAATTGAAATTGCAACATAGATCAGATATTTTTTTTCAGATAGAGATGGAATTTGAATTCGACTAGAAATTAATTCATACAATCACATGCTTTACTAAAAGTACAGTGAAATGAAAAAAACGAGAATAATTGTAATTAAAGCGGTTGCATCGATAGGTAATTGAAATATGGATGTATGTATTACAAAAATAAAAAAAAAGATTATCTAAATCGAATTCAACAATCATTTGGTGAATATCTTTATTATAGACAATTAGAAAATCATTTTAATTCCTGAAGTGAAAAATTTCGATTTGTATTGATAAATTGAGGATATGGAAGAATCTCCTCTTCAGTCACATTCAAATGATGCTAATTTTTCATTTGATAAAATGTTATTCAAAACAACCTGGTCATACCAATATGAGTGAATAGACTTAAATCATTTTAGTTTTTAAATAAGATATTTTTCAATAGGAAAAAATGATTACTATACTCACATTTCGATTGTATGAATTCATGTCTAGTAGAATTCGTTCAAAAAAAAAGGAATTCCGATTATGCACACAACAGCCATATTGGAAGAGAAAAGATATTTGAATTGTAATGTAACATCCATGTATCATTACAAACATATTTATGATAATAATATACTTCAAATGTCATCTCGTGATATTTTATCAGAATAACAAATTCTATTCTCCAAAAACCTATAACAAAACAAAAAAGTCACATTTGTTTTTTGCTTTGCAGAAAATGTTATATTATAAAAACATGGATTAATATATATTCTAGAAAAAATAAATATCAAATAGAGAATTTGTTTTGGATCAAATAACAAATAAATATGAATAGACAATCCAAATACAATTACTATTCGAGCATTAATAATACTTATAGAAGTATTGAGAAGATTATGTTAGATCTATGACCTTTAACAATAAACATAAGAGATGATAAAAGCAAGAATGAAATATGATACAATAACATTTTGATTGATTTTTTTTTAGGTAGTACAATGTTTTTGTTTCTCTTCATGCATTACTTGTGCTTGTTAACGCAAAAAAATGAGTCGATTGACTTGATGCACACGTCAATATATATATAGACTTGTACTTAAATTGAAAATAGAATCAAGTAAAAGAGAAATTAATTATTTATTGTTATTCTATATGTTGTATAAATAAAACGAACGAACTGCGGTACATTGCAGATATATTCAAAATGGTCGAAAGAAAGGTGTTGAATGAAACATAGATGAATGATAAGGAAAAGGTCCTATTAAAGGTGCATTCATAAATGTAATTTGCGATGGAATATGAGCTGTTGAATGATGATTTATAAAAGATGGTTGTATGAAATGATTTTCTTCTAATTGTATTGGTGATGCTGATCGTTCTCTTTCAGATTCTTGTGAATAACAACGTTGATATTGTCTATGTTCATTAGTTAGTTCTGATTCTTCTTGTTCATCATTTGAATATTCAATATCACATTGTGATTGATCATCAATCATATCTTGTTGACTCCATGATTTTGATAATATTGAAAAATCATTCCATCTAATATGTTCTTCATTTGATATTATTCCCATATTTTTAATTGATTTTATTGCCCATAAATCTTTTGTTAAGATTTTATCTGTTACATATTCATATGGTAAATAACCATAACCATGATCACCCCAATCAATTCCATGTGAATTACGTATAATAAATACTCGTTTAGAATGTATATAACCAACACAAACAATAGCATGTCGATATTGAGATGATTTTTCATATTTTTTTGGCATTGATATATAACCATGATGATTTGATCCAAATGATGAAAATATTTTTATTGCCATAATAAATGGATAACCTTGAACAAGACATTGACGTAATTGATTAATATTATTTGAAAGACGACTAAATTCATTTAAACAATATAATTGACCATTTTTATATGCTTTATAATTTGGTTGAATATTAATAAAATGTTCATAAAATGGCCAATATTGTTCTTCACAACAACCATATTCAATTAAACTTATAATAGCATATTGTATATCAGCACCAGAATCTATTTCAGTTGCATTTCGTTGTGATATTTTATCTTCCATCATTCGAGCATTATAATAAATAAATAAACGACTAAAAATTTTTATTTGACCAGTTGTATAAAAATAAAAATATTCTAATATAGATGCTAATGCATTACCAACACATGAACCAGCTGTATATTGTTCTTCAATTGGACTTAAAAATGAACGTAAATCAATAATATTTGGTAATTGTGAATTAGTTATTAAAGATAAAAATGGTCGTGCTAAATTTAATAAAGGATTTTTACGTGATCGACGACATCCATCTAAACGATATTGTCGTTTTGTACGACGATTGATAAGTAAACCACCAAGAGTCATTAGAAGAAAATAAATAAAAATATATGATGTTACCTTTATAATATATAATTACTGATGAATAAGTATTTTTCTTTCGACAAAACGCATATACAACAGAACGAAAATTAATGAATAATCATTTTACTCATCAATAAAACTGTAACATATTCATTGGAAAATTGAAAATAATCTTCCTAAATAACATAAGAGAAATGAATAGATAAAACAAAAATTTCAAAAACTTATTCATGGAAATTTTTTTAAAAATAAATTATTATAAAAATACTCTTCGAAATTTGTACAATATGATTTTCTTGAAATAAGTTGTCGTAACAACTAGCGTTATCTGTTGAAAATAGAAAAGAATCTCAATATTTTAATAATCTTTTGATTTGAAATTTACTTTTATTTATCTGTATTTCATAAACAATTAATACGATTATTTTTCTAGTTAAAGGTTATTACTAAGTAATGGAATTGCAAATGGCTACAACAGATAGTCATCAATAAAGATTTTGCCTTCATTGATCAATTTCTTTTTTTTTACATCAATGGCAAATACTAATTCAACTGAAATAGAAAATACTGAAATTAAAGATGATATCAAACAACATGGTCAATGTATATTACGTGCAAAAACAGCATTGATTAAACCTTATTCAAAAGTAAAAATTAAATATTTACAAAAAAAAAAAAAAAAATAATTTTTAAATTTATTTTTCTTTTTATTTCAGTATACTGAAGAAGGTCTTCGTCCACGAACACCCAATGAACCATATACATGCTTAACAAAAGAACAAGAATCAAATATCGAACGTACAGCTAGTCCGATATTTTTTAATAAAGCTCGTATATCAACAGCAACAGGAGCCTTTCGATGTTATCGTCAACGTCAAACAGATTCATATCCAATGAGTCATTTACGTATGGGTGGTGCTGTTGGTGGTGGTACAGAATATACATATATTACACCACAAGCTTATACATCAAAATTACCAGATGAATATAATGGTTGTACAGGAAATGCTTTTCCTAAATGGTATCCAAATCGAGCTGGTGAACGAACACTTGGACATTTACGAGATGGTGAACCTGTAGAAAGATATGTTTCAATTGATATGTTTCGTCGTCCACCAACAGCACGTTCTGGTCAAATTATTTTTGATCATGGACGACCTAATGATGGATATTATTTACAAAGAAATGGATGTAAGTAGAAAAAAACAACAACAACAACAACAAAATATTTCTTTTTTTTTGTTTTTCATTCAAAGATGATACAACATGGTTTCATTCTAATCTTAATTTAAATCGTCATCATATACTTGATTCAATTCAACTTAAAACAACAGCTGAATATGAACAACAACATGCCGAACAACAAGATCAATATCGAAAAGCAAAAGAAAAATGGCCACATTTATCTGAATATAATGATCAATTTGTACTTAAATCAACAGTTGAACGAAAAAGAAAAACAGAGTATGTATTTAAAAAGAAGAAGAAAAAAAAATTCAACCGATCACACCAGGATTCGAACCTGGAATCCCCCGCTCCGTAGGCGGGTGCCTTAACCATTGGGCCATGCGACCGTTGTTAAAGAATGAAAAAAATTCATCTATCTATCAGAATATAATATGAATAATCTTGTTAAATTTTTTATTAAATGTTCATGTAGTCAGATAAATCATTATTTTTTTTACTTGAACAAAAATGAATATGGAAAAAATTCTTCTTTCGATTATTTTAAAATTTTATTTTAGTTCAAATATGAGCCGTAGCTTATGTCATGTTATTTATTTTTATACATGATACATTCACAGGAATATCTGAACAGTTTAAATTTTCATTTTAAAGCCACTGAGAGCTATTTTACATATGTAAATATTCATATAGCTCAACGAAAAATGATATAATGAATCTGATTTTCTTTTTTGATATTCCAACTTTTATAGAAAAATAAAATAGTTTAGTTGTTACTGTAGAAAAACAAAATACTGATAATAAAGATTATTTCTTTTCTTTTCTATAAAGAAAAGAAAAGAAAAAATATATATACCGATCACACCAGGATTCGAACCTGGAATCCCCCGCTCCGTAGGCGGGTGCCTTAACCATTGGGCCATGCGACCGTTGTAAGATGAAGAATAAAAATGAGTATTATTCATTTCTTATATATTCTCTGCTTATATCTTTTTTTTTAGTTTGGAACAAGCTAAACAACATATTGCACAAAATCCAACACGTCGTTCATCATTACATAATCAATTAGCAGCAAGAGCTGTTGCTCAAGGTCGAACATTAATAAATGAACCATCGCTAACTGTCAAATGTTAAAAAGTATATTTTAGACAAAAAGAAAAAAACGAAGAACAGTATGATGTTGATTTTAATCTATACGAAATTATTACGAACTTATAGATAAACAAAATAAGTTTTTTCTTAATTCAATAATGATTACTAGTAGTTTTGTAATGCATAGGATAATTTCAATCGAATGAAAAATGTGATGTTCTGTTCAAAAATAAGAGTTTTAGGGAATTATATAAAATGATCTATTCATCAGTACTAACGGGTGGGGTCATAAAGAATTGTCCTCTTAGTATTTTTAACATTTCTCCTATATTATCCCTGTGATTCAAACACCTTTTTTATCAAAAGATAGCGCTTGAAATTCTCTACAAAACTCGATCTTAAAACTGTTTTAGATATATCTGAAAAAAGAAGACACACAAAAAGCGGTAAAACGTAACGGATTGTACATTAATGAATGGTCACGCTTTGCATCCTATTTTTTCATCACTTACTTTGTCCTATTAAATAAATAAAGTATACCAAAAGATGCAGCGTGAACAGCTCTACAATTTACACAAGATCTGTTATTTTATAGTTGCACTTTTTGTTTTCAAAATGAACAAAATTTTGAACAATCGAATTTCGTCCGTGCGAAAATGATATATTTTTTAGTACAAGATGAATTCTTTTTTTCTCTTTTTTATAATTTGTTCTTTGTAAATTGTAGATTTTTTCATGCTGCATGGTGTGGTGTATTTTGTTTTTTAATAGGACGAAGTGATGAAAATATTAGATACAAAGCGCGATCCTTCATTATGTACAACCCGTTATTTTTTACAGCTTTTTGTGTCTTTATTTCAGATATATCTAAAATATTTTCAGGAAATAACTACACGATGGTGACCAGATCCATATGGACTACAAATATCACACGGTCATTTTGTTTAGAATTAGTTCCGGATTTTCGATCTCCGTACCCCCCTAGAGGGGAATTCAAAAAAACATTTTTTTCAAAATTTACTTTTTTAAAGCTGTTATAGATATCAAGTCAATCGTACTAATCACGAATATTGCTATCTCATAATTCACAAATGTAATCCTGAAAAATAAGACCATTTTTCCTATCTCTAAATTTTGAGGTCAAAATCAGATTTTTGACCCTTTTCTCACATAGACTAGTCTCTATAATGTCAAAAAAAGCGTCTATTCGATGCAAATTTTCAAGCTCTATTCGAATCTGGATGAATAAAGATCATTTGAAATGCTCAGCTGCTTTTCACAACGATATACGACCAGAATCCTGATAGAATATGCATGGACGCCCTTCTTTATGGGGCTTCTACTGTATCCAAAACTTAAGTTTCATGTAAAATAAACATGATATTCAGAATCTGCATCAAGTAACATATATTTTATCAAAACAAATCTTTTTCGTCTAGAGTTCGATCGTACTCCCCCTAAGCTATTTTTACTCAATTTTGCCCTGTGGTTCTAACAGGTCGAATTTTGACAAAAAAAATTTTTTTTTTTATAAAATATATGTTACTTGATGCAGGTTCTGAATGTCA